GAGACTCCAACGCGACGGCGAACGGGACAGGTCACGCGGGCAGTCTCGCGACGGAGCTCGAAGAGGACGCACGCCACATCCTCTCGTCCCGTCCCACGCCTCCTCACAGGCCCAGAAAAGATTCCTCGACCCCCGAAGGACTCCTGAGCGACCGCCCAGCCAGCACAGATCGGACTCCAAGACAACCTCACCCTCCGGGCATCACGGCAAGCACCATGAGGGCGTCTGCTTTCATCCTGCGGGCGGTTACGTCCCTTTTGCTCCTGTCCCTGGTTCGCGGTGAGCCCAAATTGCAACTGCAACTGCTTCCCCTTCACATTTGCTTTATTTTGTTTATTTTCAACTAATTTGAATCGGCGATCATGTGTTTGTGTATATTTGTTTGTTTGAATTAGTGATGGTGTGTTTGTGTGCGCATTTGTTTGTTTTCATTTGGTTTGAATCAAAGAGCATGCTGGGTGAGTGTTCGTGTTTGCATTTGTTTGTTTCTTTGTTTTGTAATGGTTATAATCACTGACCGTGTGCTTGTGTCGTACTCGATGAATGTTTGTGTGTATTTGTTTGTTTCAATTTAGGCAACTGGTTTGAATCAGTGATCGTGTTTGTGTGGTGCTGGATGAGTGTGTGCACATATATGAATTTATATCTAAATCTTTATTCATATTCATATCTCCATACCAGTGGTGTGTGTGTGTTTGTGTGTATGTGTATGTATGTATGTATATGTATGTATATATGTTTGTGTATGTACGTATGTGCATGTGTATGTATATGTATATGTGTATACGCATGTACGCGTATGTACGTGTATGAATATGCGAAAACGTGCGCGAACCCATCTCAGAACAAGAATACATGAGAATTCCTACACCTCAGTGAACCAACAAAGAAAAAAAAATCGCGCAATTTTCTCCCACGACTCCAACAATCCCAGACACGCACGCGAGAGGATATTCCCTCCCAGCGTGACATCCCAGAAGAACGCTCAGTCGCGATTCACTTTGGACGGAGAGGGACCAAGCAATAGCTAATCTCGGCTTTAACGCAGCTATACGCCACACGCATACCAAAGGGTCAGTTATAAAAAAAATATATAAGCAAATTGAATAGGTCGATAATACAGTGAATATATTATTTCAATACTGATGGGTAATGAATAGAAAAAAAAAATATGTAGAGGATCTACGTTTCGCCAGTACCCCCCCCCCCCCCCCACCATTTAAAACAGGAAATAAACAACAATAAATAAATGAATAAAGGGATATTGATATTCAGGAGCCGAGGACATCTACATGAAGGTCAGACGTAAGGGTCAAGGAGGATGGGGGGGGGGGAAGAATAAAAGGGAGAACCAGGAAGGAAGAGAGATAAAGGACAAGAGGGACGGAATGGAAGGGAGGAGGAAGAAGAGTGAGAGTAAAGAAGGGGTGGAGAGGAAGAAGGAAGAGGGTTCGCGAAGGGAGGTAGGGAGATGGTGAGGGAGAGGGAGAGAAGGAAGGAGAGGGAGGAGAGGAGAGGCGAGGAGAAGGGAGGTGAGTAAGGAAGAGGAGGGAAGGACGAGGAGAGGGGAGGGGAAGGGAAGGGGGGAGGAAGCCATGGATGAGACCACATCCTTGTCCTTCGCAAAAGTCAACTCCCATGCACAGATGCCAGACATCTCTCTCTCTCTCTCTCTCTCTTTCCTCTACCTACCCCCACCCCACCCCTCTCTCTCTCTCCCTTCTCTCTCCCCTCTCTCTCTCTCCCTTCTCTCCCCTCTCTCTATCTCCCTCCTCCCCCCCCTCTCTCTCTCCCTTCCCTCCTCTCTCTCTCCCTCCTCCCCCCCTCTCTCTCTCTCTCCTCCCCCTCTCTCTTTCTCCCTCCTCTCCTTCTCTCTCTCTCCCTCCTCCCCCCTCTCCCTCTCCCCCTCCTCCCCCTCTCTCTCTCCCTCCTCCCCCCTCTCTCTTTCTCCCTCCTCCCCCCTCTCTCTTTCTCCCTCCTCCCCCCTCTCTCTCTCTCCCTCCTCCCCCCTCTCTCTTTCTCCCTCCTCCCCCCTCTCTCTCTCTTCCTCCTCCCCCCTCTCTCTTTCTCCCCCCTCCCCCCCCCTCTCTCTCTCCCTTCTTCCATCTCTCTCTCTCTCCCTCCTCCCCCCCTCTCTCTCTCTCTCTCTTTCTGCTTGCATGCGGGTCCTTCCTCAACCACGAATCACGAAATGAATAATCGGTTTCTCTCTGTTTTTGTCCTCGATTTTTTATATTTTTCCGTGACTTGAGACTTTCGTTCCTTGTACACCCGGGGGGGGGGGGAGTCAAGACATGGTGGTGCGTCACGCTTTAGTTTTATCCTTCCTTCTTTTCCTTTCCCCCCCCCTCTCTCTCTCTCTCTCTCTCTCTCTCTCTCTCTCTCTCTCTCTCTCTCTCTCTCTCTCTCCTCCTCCTCCTCCTCCTCTCTATCTCTCTCTCTCTTTCTCCCTCGCTCTCACTCTCCCCCCCGCCTCTCTCTCTCTTTCTCTCTCTCTCACTCTCACACTACCTATTTCTCAACGTCTCATATACCGCATTATAAATCAAATCAAATGATACGATAGAACGGGAGATGCTGAACACAACTTTAATACCGGTACTACAACATTCTTCAATAATTCAATATATACTTTTTTCAAAATTACACATTTTTCCAAAACTCCATTTATGATATTACTCCAACATTTTTTTTTTCAATCGTCCTTCAACATTTTTTCAACACTTTCTGCATTTTTCAATATATCTTCAGTATTCTTCAATTAACCTTCCACAATTTTGAACACTCTGGCATTCATATTTTTCCCTTATGTTTATGTTTATGTTTATTCCTTCACACGCGCGCACACACACACACACACACACACACACACACACACACACACACACACACACACACACACACTCTCTCTCTCTCTCTCTCTCAAAAAAAAAAAAAAAAAAAAAAAAAAAAAAAGGCCAATCCACACCTCTCATCCCCCCCCCCTTCCCCCACCCCAGGCCAAAGAATCCAGACCGTGGAGCTCGCAGACTCCCGCTACTTCATCTCGAACGCCTCTCCCTACTCCCCGTCGCTGAACTGGTTCCTGGCCTACGAGTACTGCCACACCATCGGCATGGAACTGCTCTCCTTCCAAGGCATCGAGGAGACCGAGGTCATCAACAGTTACCTCAGTGACAATGGTAAGGACTAACTTCTTTTTGTTGTTGTAGTTTTCTTTTTTTTCTCTCGCACGTCGTGTGTGGTTTAATTAGCTCTTGTGTATGTTCTTTTTTTTTCTTAGCGTTGTCAGAAGCTTATCGTTTTACCTAGTCTTTCTGATTCAGTTTCTGAATAATCCAATATGTGTGTGTGTGTGTGTGTGTGTGTGTGTGTGTGTGTGTGTGTGTGTGTGTGTGTGTGTGTGTGTGTGTGTGTGTGTGTGTGTGTGTGTGTGTGTGTGTGTGTGTGTGGTATAGGTATATATATATATATATATATATATATATATATATATATATATATATGTATGTGTGTGTGTTGGATAATTCATATACGAAAGAATTGAAATAACCCAATCTTCTGCACTAAGGTTACAGTAACAGTGAATACTGGACGAGCGGTAATCAGCTGGGCTCCGAGATGTGGATATGGATGAGCACTGGCCAACCCTTCAACAACACTTTCAACTTCTGGGCTGCTGGTGGCCCGCCCCTCACGTGAGTTTCTATACTTGGCGGTGCGCGGTGGCAAACACTGAATAAAGTACCACCACGGCAAACATGCTATATTAGTACAATCTCCATCTTATAAAAGTGCCTTGAAACTGTTTAAACTTTTCACACTTACTGTTGCCACTGCTTTACAATAAAGCACACCTTCTATACCCTCCCGACTTTCTACTCCACCAGGAAATCCCAGCAGTCATGTATGAGCCACCAGAAGGGCACCTGGTCTCCCCAGAACTGCATGGACCCCAAGCACTTTATCTGTGAACAAACGCGTTGCTTCTACTACAACTACGTGACCACGAACCGCCGTTCATCACAGGGGTAAGAGCAGGTAATATTTAAAACAGGCTATTTGTAGGGTGCTGGGTATGGCTTGCATGTGTCTCCCACTGCACGAGGTAAATATGGGATTATTATACATAAATTTTAACTATCGCCATCTTAAGCAAACACTAAACCAAACCAACCACTGTCTCTCGGTGACCCCTTTATAACTGTTATCTTGCTAGAGACGGTTTGCATGTATTCTCCTAGTGCACTAGGCAATTAGGACCACTTTCTGAAACCATATTAATGTAACTGTAACCATTATTTTACACAGATTTTAAAGCAGGCCCATTGTACCGTCTAAGTAGGGGAGAGCGCTGAATGCCTGGTTATTCAAGCAAGTTTAGAGGTCTTAAGATGTAGAGTAAACCCATGAAACAGGACAGTGTCCTGCAGGTCTACAAAGAGGCTGCGTGCATAGATATCACATAGCAAAGTCACCCTCTGGAAACTAATATGAAAGTGTGTTAACCCCATTCTCAAGCTCTGTGCATGGCTGATAATACACAATATCTATGATGTCCACTGTGAAGGGGGCAGTGAATCCCATTGCCACTAGGAGAGAGAACAGACATACATCAACCACTGGCAAGCTGGTGAAAATGATATCCCTGATGCTTTCTCCAAGGCAACTAGAGTATGACTATGAAGTTCTGACCACCACAATACTCATTCAATTATGATGATCACGAGGCTACCCTTATTAGCTGCTAAAGACTGGGCCATGTGTATGGGGATCAGGTGAAGCGTGCTTTAGCAAATTTTACTGGACTGTCTTGCATGTGCTACCGTGCTGCATGGGATAACAACTTTTTTGTCAATCTTTCCAAGTTAATTAGGTTATTTTAAGAATAAGAATAATAAAAAGAGCTTAATTTTAAGCCCTTCACTGTGTTTTATATTGTGCTTGTAGGGAATTATAAAATCATATATATATATATATATATATATATATATATATATATATATATATATATATATATATATATATATATATATATATATATATATATATATCTTTCTGTAACTTAAGAATTCAATAGAAAAATATTTATTTAATTCTGATGCTCAACTACTGATAAAAACTATAGAAATAAAATTACTATCATTTACTATCTGTCTATCTATCTATCTGTCTATCAATCTAGGTATCTATCTACACTCCAGGAACTGCTCTAATTTTCATGGTATTCCCTAACACAGCAACAGCACAACAGCTGGCATTACCGGGTCCCCAGCAAGTCCATCTCTCCGCCCAGTTAGGCCTTTGAGACGCCCTTCCATTCCTACCCCAGCAAGTGTCTTACAGGGTGACCCCCAGACACAGCCAGCAGACACACACAACCCACCTGCAATTAACGAGACACTACTAAACGATGACCAGCTCACATCAACACCCATTGCAAAGCTGATGTCAACTACAATCTCACCCGAAGCAGACATCAAAGTCATGCCCACAGAAGCTCCTCCTCAACAGGATCCAAAAGAGATGCCAGTGACATCCCCACCCAAAGCAACTGCTAGCGAACCTATTGTGATTGCAAACAATGAAATCCTCCCAGCATCTGTGAACAGTGAGTTCCTCTTGCTGCAACCTCCCACAAAGGATTTTGATGCAGGAGCTACTGAAGAAACATCCACTGCAAACGTGAGACTTCTGAGCAGACAGGAGACCTTCAGCTGGGCTCTTAAAGATTCCAGTTCTCCATAACATAGAATACTCAACTTTCTAGTAAATCAACAACAATCTAGTAAACCATGAGTGCATTATAACATGGATCCTACTCCACCACCTCTTTATTCTGCATTTGTTATATTCCTGTTTCTAAGGGTGCATTGTTAATTACATGTGTATAAAGGTACCAGTCTTTGATTTCTTCCTTTTCACCAATACACAAATTATGCAAAAGAGGATATTTCACATGAACTTTAAGCTTTTGCAGTTGGAGCTGCTACCATGCAGTATGTAAGATTCTCTCATGTGATGGAACTTATTTATAACAAGATACATTATAATAATAGCAAGTTGAAACTATCCACAGATTTCTTTATATGCACGCACGCACGCACACACATGCACTAAGCACTCCTTAACACTCCCTGAGTACTTACTTTCCATGGATGACGCCCTCTGGGTTGAGCATGGGTACAATCTTGAAAATGAAGTTCTGCAACAGAAGACGAGATGCAGCTGTGTCCGTCAGCAGGAAGTCAAGTATTCCCTCCATGACCCAGGAGGCGTTGCTCTCTCCAGGATGCACACGTGCTGTCAAGAATATCACTTCCTTTTCCTGATGACAAGGAAGGAAAAAGTGGAATGAAAATGTACTTTTCTGTCTGAAGACAAGCTGAAGCTGATCATCAGTATCATATTTAACTAAAACTATTACAAAAAATAAATATAATTATTTCAAAGAAAGAAAAATACAATATAGCCAGAAATTTTCTTTATAAATATGGTTCTATTTTCATAACACCTACATAATAACCTACACTGCTTACCTTAACATTTTCTTTGGTAGTAACAGTCAAGAGGGGGACTGGGTTCCCATTAAGTGTGTGACACAAGGACTGGTTACTGTAGAAGATATCACTTGCTCTTTCTATGGAATCTTGTTTGTTTAAGTAAGCCTATTTAAAGAGAGTAATTGCCATCAGTAAAAGGTTAAATGACAGTAACATGTTATTAATATCCATTTAAAAGATGGAATAATCATGACCCATCGGCATTAGCAGTAACTAATGTTCTTCGTGAAAAAAAAATATATATATATTATTTTAAACATTTCCATTTCTCTAAATCAAAATGTACACAACTTGAACCAATTTTCACAGTTCAAAAAGCATGAAAATAAGATCGTCCAAAAATCCTACCTGCAACTGTGTATAAGTGTATGGATAATGATAAGCTAAATAGCACACATCATAAGCATGAGGAAATGTGACGGTGAAGGTAGCTGTATAATAGCACTTGTTGACCGACTTCTTGAAGCGCACATTATCGTGGCTTTTAGGTATCCGCGAGTAGTGGTTTTTGTGGTAGCAGATGTCCGTACCTGTACGGACCCAGGCACCTCTGCCTTTCAAGGCTTCACACACACTAAACATGACTGGCTTCATTCCTGATGGGGAGAACACAGGACAACCTTAATAAGAGTCCAGTACTTGTGATGAGTTTTTATCAGGTTGAATGCCATGGTCTACAGGTGTGTTAAGCAAATTGTTTGTACAAATTTTGATCTTCATTATTTCAAAAACAAATTAAAGAAAAGTCTGGTCATGGAATATGCATATTAAAAAACTGAAACATATAGAAGAAACTGAACATTATATCATGGAATGGAACTTACCATAATTGAATTCACTATTTGGCTTTTCATTATTTATAATGTTGAAGACATATGGTGTATGTGGCTCCATATTGCTGACTTCAAAATAGAACCACTGGTGGTGATGCGAGGAGTTAACATCAGCATTAAGAATCAAATCATATTCAGTATTTGATGCCTGAAATGGAAGAAGACATATTTTCAACATTTTTCTCAACCAAACTCTCCTTAAACACTAAACACCAATAGAGTAAGAGACATAAAAAATAAAAGCACAAATATAAATGATCCATCACAGAACTCACCTGAATTACTCTGCGTAAGTTGCCGCTCTCAAATCTTGATTCGAAATTCAAGTGCTGGACTGAGACGTCACGTTTGCCAACACGTTTCTCATCCCAATTACCCAGAGATCTAGCAGAGAGGAAAGCCACATTACACATATGAATACCATGAGTATCATTGCAGTAAAATCATATTCTATGGACTAATGAAAACTAAACAATATTTTAGAAACACGTCTTTGTATGGGAAAGATTTCAGAAAGAAAAGCAGATTATACCCTTGAATATTCTTTGTGAAAATGAATAAAAAAATAAAATGAAAAATAGCAACCACAGTTAACAGGGGTCTCTAAAGGTTCATGGAAAGCGGGACTGGATGGGTGAATCCAGTTTATGTATATATACTGTGTGTATGCATGTGTTAGTGGATATATATATATGCCGAAGGTGTCAAGGCCTTCAACATATTCATGTGTTTTCTTGTTCTTCATTTTGTTATTTGATTTACTTATACATACATACACACAAACACACACACACACACACACACACACACACACACACACACACACACACACACACACACACACACACACACACACACACACACACACACACACACGTGTGAAACATAAGGTTGCCAATGGCAGAGTTCCCATCCTTATATATGCCAATATTCATCAACCCCTAAATATTTCAGCATTTAAAGAATTAATGAAATAAAAATACACCTTCCTTTTGTAGATAACAATAAAGAATAGAAGCATTCTCACCTGCTGGTATTACTGCTTGGGGTGATGAGACGCCTTGAATGTTCTGACTCTAGGAGGTAATCCAAGTCGTACACAACACGTTCCATGTAGACCTCAGGATGGAGCACTCTCTCCACGGTTGCAATCGCCTTATTCCTGTAATGGAGAAGGGGAAACGTTGGTTAAGGTGATATTTTAACCAAATTAAAAGGTGAATACACTAGATTCTCATAAAAATGTTATATACCATATAATATCTAAAAAAATGAGATAAATAATAAATGTCAAACCCAGAACATTGCTAGAAAATATCTTCGAACTGGTGTCTAATAAAATACTTAAGGTAATCCCAACTTAAAATTTCCCAGCAAATCTCTCTCTCTCACTCTCTCACTCACTCACTCAGTCACTCACTCAGTCACTCACTCACACTCCTCTCTCTCTCTCTCTCTCTCTCTCTCTCTCTCTCTCTCTCTCTCTCTCTCTCTCTCTCTCTCTCTCTCTCTCTCTCTCTCTCTCTCTCTCTCTCTTCAAAACTTGCCTGCACACTCTTCTGTCCTTCTCATAGAGCTCCTCTAAGTGATTGGGGCCACGAGCACCAACCATGTCAGGATAAGCCACTTTGACAAAGTTAATAATGCTCCGTGTGCAGTCAGAGGCTCTTATGTAATGCTCATTGTGGCTCTCTGGGATCACATCATTAAGGGCACCTGAAATGTAGTTGGATCATAAACAAAGTATTGAGAAAAAAATCAAAGGGCTAGAAATGCTCGGTGACATTCTTTACTCAGTTGGATTATCCTTTATGGATTAATCAATCATAAATATCATTGCTTTGTAATGATTACTGAAATTGTTATTACCTTAATGAATATACAAAGACCTTCTTTCACATGTAACAAAAAAAAGATATACTCTACAGACCTTTTCTGATTGGAACTGCAACTTCCTTAAACCTTGTACCACTGGCAATGCGGAAATTGAAAAGCTCAGGGAACAAGTGTGCTAATTTCACCAGTTCCTCCATTCTCGGCTTCTGAGGGCAATAATCGGAGGCTAAATCTATTCCTTTGAAGTCCTGAGAGAGTTCAAAGTCCTCCTCTTCATCCTCAATTTCCTCTTCTGCCTCTTCATCTGAAGAATCCATATCTACGCCTGGAGTTGCTTCGCGGGACCTGTCTGTTGAGGAATTTGCAAATGTATGAGTTGTAATTTTGAAAAGATTAATAGTTTATTTTATGTAGCTAACTGCAATTTTTAAATCATATTAAGGAGATCCAGTGAACCCTTGTCTAACAGATTGTCTAAATGATATACAGGAAGAAACAGGAAGCAACAATGTACATATGGTTTTGCTGAGATCTATAAAAAAAAAAAAAAGGAAAATATCTCTTAAATGCTAAATATCCTCCACACCTCCTAACTTGCCTGACATCCTCTTGTTATGGAATCCAGCCTCCCAGCATGGACCTACTCCTGCACACAGACACCCAAAATATCCATGTCCTCTGCCAGCCTCCTTACCTGAGCTTGTTTCGGATCCCTCCCTATTTGGCACTTGGAAGGTGAATGCCCCCCAGCTGGAAGACACTGGTAGT